TAGGTGGTTAGAGGAAGGCCTTTGAAGCTGAGTTAAGGAGATTGGCATCTTCAAGGCAAGTCATTTCCAAAATGGCACAAAATGACACATGGTCACGGAGGACCTTCTGAGAAAAAAAAAAAAAAAAAAAAATCCATAATCTGTCTGTATAGTACGACTTTTGGAACCAGAGAACGTCCTGTAATCCAATCTTTAATGTTGCACACTTTGTCTTGTGCTGGGAATTGCAGCATTCAGTGGTTCCTCCCTCAGTACATCAGGAGATGCAGCCAGGACTCTGGAGAGTCGAGGCTGGAGACCAGGAAGATGGTACTTGGTAATCTGAACCAAGTTTACAACAGGGCCTGTCCTAACTACACTACATATTAATATAAATACATGTTTTATGTGTGAGTGAAAGCAGCACTGGAATCCACTCTCAGCAGCCAGTGGAACTGGCACAGAGCTGAAATGGATGAGGACTGATGGCAGCCTGCTGTGTTACCTTAGGAAAGTCACTGAGAGATCTTTCAGCATTAACACGTGATTCTAGTTTTCAAATCCTTTCCTATTGCTGTAGGGATAAAGGATGGGATGATGAGGGCACCCAAAGTCAGAGAAGAAAGATTTCACAGAACAACGGAGGGAGGGAGAATAGCAAAGGAAGGGGAAGTGGACCCAGAAGAGGACAAACCAGATACCTGGCATCACCCCTGGGTTATGAGTGGGGAAGGGAGCATTTAGGGTCAGGGGGAATTAATATAAACCCATTTTCAGGTTGGGGGATAGACCATGAGTCACATCCACAAGCACCTGCTTGTAGGCACTAAGTGAGGTGTGGGATACTCTGGGGATACCTGGTTTCAGTGGCATTTAGGCTCCAGCAGGGAGGACTCAGCCAGGCACTGAGCACTCTGGGGACGTAGCAGCGAAGGCTGAAGGAGGAGGAGAGCCTGGACACTGCACTCTACATTAGCGGGCTTTGCCCGAAATGCATCCTGGGAAGGAGTCCGGGACCTGTGTTCCAAGTCTCCAATCACTGTTCCTAGAAGCTGGGGGAAGAGTTTTGAAATGTATAATGGGAAACAGATGAACAAGTATTCAGGTCCTTGAGACCGATGGGAGGGAGAAAGGCAGAGGGAGAGAAAGAAAAAATGCCCAGGGAGAGAAAGGGGGTGCGGCAAGGTTTTCTGGATGCCCAGTGGCTCTTTACAGTATTAATAGTTCTGGAACTGAGCACCTCAAAGAGAGCAGAGGCTTCCGAGCAGCCCTGAAGATGTGGCGGGGTCCAGCACTGAGTTCTCTTCAAAAGACTTGAAAGTATCTCAAGGCTTCAGCAGAATTTGACACTAACAAGAACCAAGCACCCCTGCAACTGTCTATGGGATGATGCTGTTTTATAATGAGGCAAAAAATAAACCTTTATTAGGTTAAGGGACACTTCTCCTGAAGACAAATTGTAGAGAGACTTGAAGCTGTGTCCTGCTCTCCATGAAATACCTTTTGATCTTGTCTCTCTCCATGTGCCCCCACTGACCCGAGGACCCAGGGAGTGAAGAGGGGCTGGAATGGGAATGCAGACGTCCAGCCTGGCAAGACAACGAGAGCCCAGCCATCTCCTCACCCAAGCTGCTGCCTCAAGAGGCAGAGGGCCTCTGTCCACACTGTCACCTCCAGTGACAAGAGAAAATATCCTTTCTTAGGGGTGAAGTCTCTCTTCTTTTTATTGAAGAGCGATCTTGTCTTACTTAAGGAAGTAATGTGTGCGCTTGTGTGCCCACACTAGTATCCCAGCAACTATAGGCCTAGCCCTTACTTCCCAATGGGACCAGTCTGCAATCCTCTAAGCCAGTGGTTCTCAACCTTTCTAACGCCTTTAATACAATTCTTTTAATACAACTTTAATTCAACCCTTTAATACAATTCCTCATGTTGTGGTGACCCCGAACCATAAAATTATTTTTGTTACTACTTCATAACTGTAATTTTGCTACTGTTAATGAATCGTAAGGTAAATATCTGTGTCTTTGATTTAGCAAAATTACAGTTATGAAGTAGCAATGAAAATAATTTTATGGTTGGGGGTCACCACAACTTGAGGAACTGTATTAAAGGGTCGTGGCATTAGAAAGGTTGAGAACCTATTATACTTCTCTAAGAGGAAATGGTGGGGGTAGGAAGGGAAAGGGTGAGGAAGGTTGTCTGCCACAATGACTATCTTCTCTTTCCTCCTACCCCACGCTCATCCTTGCAGTCCAGGAGCTGCCAATAGCATCCATGCTAGCTTTGCTCAGCCTCATTGGATAGTAAGGTTCCCCTCCACAGCCCATTAGCTCACCCGGGTGCCCAAATACATTTGTGTACTCTTCCACAAGCTCATCAAACACATGTAAGATGATTTTCATTGGAATCTGATTTAAAATCACACGGGATGCCGAGACCGGTTTGGCTCAATGGATAGAGCGTCGGCTTGGGGACTGAAGGGTCCCGGGTTCGATTCCGGTCAAGGGCATGTACCTTGGTTGCGGGCACATCCCCAGAAGGCGGTGTGCAAGAGGCGGCTGATCGATGACTCTCTCATCGATGTTTCTAACTCTCTATCTCTCTCCCTTCCTCTCTGTACAAAATCAATAAAATATATTTTAAAAAATAAATAAATAAAATCACACGGGATAAAACACACTTGCTGACTCCCATGTCCCCCAGCCACCCCGCCCCCCAACATATCCATGACACAAACACACTTTCTCCAGAGCCACCTAGATGTACCAGAGATAGGGCTTGAAGAGAACCTTTACAGACTGGGATCCAGTCTTTCATTGAATGGTTACCCATATTTTGGATATGGCATTGAAGTCTGGTCACTTGTCATCCTCCCAAGTGATTAGGCTGACCCAAGGCCATGTTTCCACGTGGCTTTAATCTAACCATTTGAGGAAAGGAGAGGAAAGCCTTTACAAAGTAAAGAGAATGGGATGCCCACCACCATCTGGTGACATCCCTGGTTTTGACCCTCCACCCACAACAGTTTCCCTCTTTTTGAGAAGAGAAAGATAAATCTAAATGCAGGATGTTGCAGTTGGGGCTCTCACAAGGGGAGCCTGTCCACATTTGCATCATTTTAAGAACAATCGTCTCACTAGAAAGAGGCGGGGCTGAGAAGCTAACACCCCGCTTGGGGGTGGGGGGTATCCCATGATTCCCTGCACACAATGGTATACTTTGCTTGTGGTTTGCATATGAATACATATGCATCCTATTCCCACCAGAAAAAAAAGTAGACTTTTTAAATGATCAAAGTAATAAAATTGTGTTACAACACAAATAAAAGGGTGGAGAGCAGACAAAAGAAATTAAGAATTTACAATGACATCACCAGAATATTGGGAAACTGTCTGGGGTTCTTGACTCTGCCTCCTATCTGCTGCAAATTGGGTAATCTCAGATCTTCTACTAATCTTTTGCCCTTAACATTTTGATCTCAGAATTCAGGTAAATACAGTGCAATGTCTAAAACCAAGAAATTTGTTTAAGTCTTAGTCTTTAAGAGGCATAAACCTGGATGTTGAGTTGAGAAGCCTCTGGTGGGACGAAGCTCTGGAAAAGAAAAAGGAAGTGGCTGACCGGGAAGAGGACACCTCAGTCCGCTACTGAGAGAACCCGCGCCTTCGCGCCACTAACTCTGTGAGGTGGGAGCTGAGCCTGGCTTTTACCAGGACTTGCCCCGACCTTGGAAGTGTTTCTTTGTTACTCTTAAACTGAGGAATTCGTGTTGCATCGCAGTTTGTGATGAAGTGTGTCGCGGAGCAGAGTGCATACGGTTGGGGGGTAGGGGTGGGGGTGGGGGTGGGGAATATCAAGGATGGTCTTGGTGGCCAGTCAGAAAGGTGAGAAACTCAGGTTTACACTCTGCCCTTTAACGTCCAGCCGCCCCCCTGCCCCGGGCAGCTCCGGAGAAGACAATTCAATGAACTCCTTTTGTACCAAGTTTTATTGATCCGAACCCCTAAAATATCAATTTGCTTTCCGCAGAAACGTGCCCCACTGAGCTGCCTTGCTAGGTACCCCCTCCTGCATTCCCACTTATTCCCCCGGGCCCGAGTATGGGAGGCGAGGGGAGGCCAGCCCAGAGAGAGCGTCGCTGGGGACGGATACCGCATCCTAGTTGGGCTTCGTAGGTGCTGGAGACCCGAAGGCTCGCGCCTCTAGACCCGCACAGCGTCTCTTCTCTGCTGCAAACCGGGTAACCTCAGCTCTTCTAATCATATAAATCCTTTGCCCTTAACTTTTTGCCTTTGAAACCCACTGGCACACATCGTGCCAACTTTACAAGAATCCTTGAAAGGTTCGGAGATGAGTTAGAACCCGGCTGGAGGCCAACGCGCCCCGGACCTGGAGTTGGCCAAATGCATCAACCCGGACACCCCAGGTTGCGGGCAGTTTCTGCGCTCAGCCCCGAGGAGGAGAGCGTTCCGCGCGTCACCCGTTCCCGCTGCCTGAGCCATCAGTGTCAGCGCACATCCTTAGGACTTTCTGTAGCTGTGCTGATACCCCAGCCCTGGGGCAAAGTGTGTGTGTGGCGGGGGGGGGGGGGGGGGGGGGGAAGCTCTGTGCAGCGCGTGTGTGAACAGGCAGCGGACGCAGCAGGCTGCAGGTGCCTCGGGTGGTGCGCCCCGCAGGTACGCGCCGCAGGACAGGGCTGGGAGGAGCAGGAAGAGCCCCGGGCAACGCAGACCCCGCCTCCTCCCCACCTCCGGAGCTCCCAACCCCCAGAGAGCCCTTCCGGCCGCGCCGCGGGCCGGGCCCCCCGGCCCCCCTCCCGCCAGCTGGCGCGGTGATTGGCTGGCGCCGCGGGGCCCCGGCACGCGCCTGGGGATGTAGCTATAAGAACCCTCGCGTGCCGGCCCTCGGCGGCAGCAAGTTGGCCACCGCCCTCACAGGCGCAGCGCGGGTTCGGCCGGAGCGCAGGGGCCTCGGGCACTCCAGGGAGGCCGGGGGCGGGGGGCTGGGGGGCCGTTCCCACTGCCTCCCGCGCAAGAACCAGGGAGACAGGGAGGGGACTGCCAGAGTAGCATAAAACTGCAACACCAAACCCCCCACAGAGCCACCTCCGGATACCGGTCCCACGGAGGCGCAGAGCATGGACGCCGTGCTGCTAGAGCACTTTCCCGGGGGCCTGGACGCCTTCCCGTCTCCTTACTTTGACGAGGAGGACTTCTTCACAGACCAGTCCTCTCGGGACCCTCTGGAGGACGGCGATGAGCTGCTGGTGGACGAGCAGGCCGAGGTGGAGTTCCTCAGCCACCAGCTGCACGAATACTGCTACCGCGACGGGGCGTGCCTGCTGCTGCAGCCCGCGCCCCCGGCCGCCCCGCACGCGCTCGCCCCGCCGCCCTCGGGGGGCCCCGGAGAGCCGGAGGAAGGCGGCGGAGGCTACTGCTGTGAGGCGGGGGCGCCCCCGGGCGGCTTCCCCTACTCGCCGGACTCGCCACCCCCGTGCCTCGCCTACCCGTGCGCCGGGGTGTCCGTGCTGTCCCCCGGGACCCGACTGCGCGGCCTGAGCGGGGCGGCGGCGGCGCGGCGGAGGCGGCGGGTGCGCTCGGAGGCCGAACTGCAGCAGCTGCGCCAGGCGGCCAACGTGCGGGAGCGGAGGCGCATGCAGTCCATCAACGACGCCTTCGAGGGGCTGCGCTCGCACATCCCCACGCTGCCCTACGAGAAGCGCCTCTCCAAAGTGGACACGCTGCGCCTGGCCATCGGCTACATCAACTTCCTCAGCGAGCTGGTGCAGACGGACCTGCCGCTGCGCGGCGGCGGCCGGGGCCCTGGCTGCGGCGGGCGCCTGAGTGGGGACATCCCCGGCGGCCAGGCCCAGAAAGTCATCATCTGCCATCGGGGCACCCGTAAGTGCGTTCCCATTCCAGCTCAGGGCGACGGGGACGCATGCGGGAAGGTCTTGGAGGGGCTGGGAGAATAGGCTGACAAGCCGATTGACGGAAGGACAGATGGTCCATGGGGCACCAGCGACCTTGAGCGCCTGCTGGCATTTATCAGGTTTTTTATTTCCCCCTCCACTTTGACCGCGGCTCAGAGGGCGCGCGACCACAAAGGACGTGCAGCTCCTGGGATTCCGGGGCGGGGGCGCTGGGGGCTTGTGCCGCAGAGAGAAAGGGTCATTCTAATGAAGCCCAAGGCGCCTGCTCTGTGGAGGCGCCCGGCATAGACCCCAAGGACTGGGGGGCTCCGCTGGGGATAGAGGTGGACATTCACACTCTGTTGTTCCTTCTCACCTCCTCAGGGTCCCCCTCCCCCAGCGACCCGGATTACGGACTCCCGCCCCTTGCAGGACACTCTCTCTCATGGACTGATGAAAAACAACTCAGAGAACAGAATATTATCCGGACAGCCAAAGTGTGGACCCCGGAGGACCCCAGAAAACTCACCAGCAAGTCTTCCTTCAACAACATAGAGAACGAGCCGCCCTTTGAGTTTGTGTCCTGAGAAATCACAGACTCGCCTGGTTGGGTCTCTGTGCATATTGTACATGCAAATGTCTATGATGTAAATGTAATTTAAGAATCGCATTTTTTTTCTAATGGCAATCAACGGTTTGTTATTTATCTATTTATTATGCTTGTTGAGTTAATGAAATAGTTCTCTTTTTTAAATATATAATTTATATAATTTATCCTGATTTTCTAAAAAAATATGCAATAGCCTGTGATTCCCCCAGCACCTTTGGCAGAGTGTTGTTGGAAGAACTCTGTCTAGAAAATTGTGCTAATTTATTGACAGATTTGGTTTATTTCTAAGCGATGTTAATAAATGTACTTGTTTTCTACGTGTCATTTGTTCAATACATGTTGGGGGTAGCTGTATTTCTAAAAAGAAGAATAACTTACTTTGTAAAAGGTCATCGAACCAGAGACTCAAAAAAACGTAGCTGTCTAGCAAGAAACCACATGTTAGTGAGATTTAGCTGAAAGGAAGTGCATTGAAGGGTTAGGCCTCAACTCTCCAAGAGTGCTCTTCTTCTGTATCACCTGCCCTAAATGGTGACTTTTGCCAGTATTTTTATCCTATGTTTCAAACACTATGGTGTAATTATACCCATTTTTCAGAGGGGAAAGCTGAGGCTCAGAGACAATATTTAACTTAACCAAGGTCACCTCTACCCTGCATAATCATAGTGTATGGACTGAATTTGCTGTGTGTGTGTGTGTGGGGGGGGTAGTTTTGGGCTTGGCTGTTGGAAAGAGTCTTTCTGCTTCCATGGGCTGGTTGCTCTTGAGCTTCTCCGTGGTCTATCCCTTCTTCAGCTGCAGCATCGGGTACATGGAACTTAAACATATTCCTATTAACCACTGTGGGCTCGAATGCCTCCCAAAAAAATCCAGGGTCCTTGTTAGGTAAGGCGAGAGAAAGCGCATACCCCCTTCCTCAGCCACTTCTGCAAATGTGTTATTTCTAAAACTGCGTTTCGCTTCCAACAGAATCTCATCTCCCTTGGTAAGCAGCCTGATCCTGGAGGCAGGCGAGCCTCTAGCGGAGGGCGGACGGCCGCCCCCTAGCGACGGGGAGCGGCTCGACGGTGCGGCCGGGGTCGCTCAGCCGGAAAGCCCTGAAAACCCGGCGGGGGAGAGGTCTCCTTCGCTACTTCCCGCACCTCCTCGGCCCTCGGGGGACTTTCCCTTGTGGGCCCAGCCAAGCCCGGGCTTGCGGAGGCTGACCCGGGGCCGGCGCGCTCGGACACCACGGGCGCGAAGGGAAAGTGCGGAGAGGACCGCGCGCGGCACATGCGCACCGTTCCGCGGTCCCGCCGCCTCAGCGCAGCTAAAGCCAGACCAAGGAGGTTGTTGCTCTACCACCAGGACCAGCCTGGTCTTCCAGGGTATAAACAGGAATTTTCCCGGTACCCCGGCCCTGTCGACAACATGCTAATTGCTTTAACATAGTTTCAGACCCACCTAGGGCTTCCCCGCGCCGAGGGTGCTATGGACATCGTCCAAGAGCAATTAAAAAGAGGCTGCGAGTTCGACCCCCGCAGCGCGGCCCAGCCAGACACCGGGAGATGCTGAATCCCAAGAGATGCAGAATCCCAGGAGGCCCTTGACGGTGGACACTCCTTCCGGCCATCGCAGCCTCTCCCGTCCCTCCCCCTGAAAGATGGAGATTTCACACTGGAGTCCGAATTTGGAAACCAGAGAAAATAATTCGATTTTGTCCTGTATTAGGGTCTCGTTAAACATAAAAGTTGCTTTTGCACAAACGCTTCTATCAGGCATGTAATCTCATTACACTCATTAGAAAGTCAAATGTTAGGCAGACTTCCACTTAATTATAAGTTATGTAAGTATTGTACTTTTCCTTGGACGGAGTAGACCTGCGTTTCCATTAGCATGGGCAATGTGGCACTCTGAAGTTAAAACACTACAACCATTGTGATGTGGCACCTTTTCTTTTGCGTGCCACTTTTTTCGTGATTCAATGCTTCAACACATCCTTTAGTGCGGTGCAGATGAAGCGGAAGAGCCGGGCTGAGCTTGTAAAACACCAGGGTCTCTATCTTGTCACTCTTCTGTCCTGACTTGGCAAGTCCCTTTAAACACAACCTTCAAAGAGACTGACAGCTTCTTTTTATTTACTCATAATCCATTCATTCTAGTGTAGCAGTTCTTTAAACAAAAATGTGGCAGTAAAAGCAGAACAAACGTATCATTTCAGAGTCTCCTTTGGTGTCAGAGGGGCCTGAGCTGCTCCTGGTGAAGGAACTGCTCTCCTCGCAGCAGCTCCAGGCTGAGGAGCCTCCAGACTGGGGCATCCCTGGCCAGCCAGAGCCGCAGCCTGGCCCTGGGAGGACCGGTATGGGGGCACTTTCTTTGAGTGGCAGGTTGATTCAGGGTCCTTCTAAGTCAACATGTTTCTTTCAACTTAACAAAAATAGTGTATGAAAAGAATTGATATTTATCAGTTATCCTCAATGGCTACAGAGACCCTTTGGTGAGCCCTGCTCTTCCGAAAACCCATCAGCTCCTGCTAAAAACCCAGCAAACTATCAGAGCAAAGAGTTTAAAGTCCTCCATGGCAGCGTTGGTCCATTTAGCATAATAAAGAAGCTGCAATCCCAGAACTGGTGCATTTTATGAACGCAACCCTGTGAGCTGGCTAAATCATTCGCTAATGGTCAGCCAAAACCGGTTTGGCTCAATGGATAGAGTGTCAGCCTGCGGACTGAAAGGTCCCGGGTTCGATTCCGGTCAAGGGCATGTACCTTGGTTGCGGGCACATCCCTGGTAGCGGGTGTGCAAGAGGCAGCTGGTCGATGTTTCTCTCTCATTGATATTTCTAACTCTTTATCCCTCTCTCTTCTTCTCTGTAAAAAATCAATAAAATATATTTTTTTAAAAAAATCATTCGCTAATGGTCACTTACCCTTCACTGTTACCAAGGATAGGGGGAGAGACGGAAGAGTGAAGAAAGTTTGGGTAGAATGCCCCCTCTCCTCCTACAATTCGCCCCTTCCTCCCATAAGATATACTTCTTTAATTCCAGCCCATCCCAGGTTACTGTGCCATTCTGCCTTGGTGTCAGAGTGCCAATGACTACTTATTAAAAGCCCCTTCTCGCCCTAGCCGGATTGGCTCAGTGGATAGAGCGTCCGCCTGCAGACGGAAAGGTCCCAGGTTCAATTCTGGTCAAGGGCATGTACTTTGGTTGGGGGCACATCCTCAGTAGGAGGTATGCTAACTCTCTATCCCTCTCTCTTTCTCTCATACAAAAAAAAATCAATAAAATATATTTTAAAATAAACAAACGCCCCCTTTCCCCATCCATCTCTCCCATACATTTCTTTAAAAAATATATATATTTTGTTCATTTTTTACAGAGAGGGATAGAGAGTTAGAAACATTGATGAGAGAGAATCATAGATCAGCTGCCTCTTGCACACCCCTTACTGGGGATGTGCCCACAACCAAGGTACATGTCCTTGACGAGAATCGAACCTGGGACCTTTCAGTCC